TGCTGGCTTATATGCAGGTATCATCATGCCCAATCACAAGATTAATATTTTAATGCTAATTTTAACATCTAAGAATGATACAATCCTGGCAGTAAGCTTGCAAGAGAGACAGTATATTTTGAGATTAAAAAAAGTTGATAACAAGAATACTGTTTTTATGGTTGTGAATATATATATATATATATACACATATATGTGTATATATATATATATATATAATAACCTCAAATTAGCTAAATATTACAACAGGAATAATGCAACAAAAAGCAAAAAGAATTATCTAATTAAAGATAGTAATATAAAGAAGGAAAGTTAATCACAAAGAAGCTCATGAGTTTAGATAAAGTAGCTATCTATTCCATTATTTTGATGTGAAATTCAGAGCTAATATAAAATAAAATAAAATAAAATAAAAATTTTAAATTACCTATGAAACCTAATCATCATTCTACCTAAAGAGTTGCTAATGTTAACTTCTCATTTTTTCCCAAAGAAGACTACTTCACATGCTTCCAATTTTAACACCTGCTCATGGGTACTTAGGCACATAATACTATCTATTATACGAAATCATTTACTGTGCAAGTATGCTCAGTGGCATGACTTATTCTACAAGACAAGAGACATGCTTCTTGCAGAATTCAGAATAAAGCTTACAATAAGTAAATTAGGTAGATTCTGAATTAGGCATTATTTTCTATTAAATTCTTGTAATATGAAATGATACCCAGGCAAAAATGACAAGATATAAAAATGTCACGAACTAAACTAATTCTTCATTAAGCATATTCTCATACACTCATTTCATGACTGTATGTTTCACGAGGATTCAAAAAAAGGATCCTCAGATGACATAGTTAAGATACATTTTTAAGAAGTTTCTAACTGGTTGAAGTTCACTGATTGCTATTTTATTTTCTATATAGAATCATCTAATAATTACATTAGGCAATCTTCTAATGCGTCCTCACACATTGTGGTATTATTAAGGATTTAAAAGTCTAGGTGCAGTGACTGTCAAAGATAAAGGTTCATTCTTTCTTCTCCCTGGATCTAAACTGCTTGTGAACTCAATCTTCTAGGCAGCTAATAGAATGACAGACTAAATCCTGATGTGCACATTACATTATTTTTCTCAGTGGCAGTTGATTTTCCCAGGTAGCTTCTACAGAAAACAAAGCTACCATTCACAACTATACAAGGATGCTCTATCATCCCTGTGGGAGGACTGCCATTCACCTCCCATGCATAGATAAAGCTTACTATGAATAATGAAGTGGAAGTGGAAGCTGTATATAAGAGGGTGAGGGCTGAAAGTTCCAGCCTCTGCTTGCCATGCTGCCTGTAGGAACACTTCATGTAGAAGTGAGGATGCTGTGATCTCAAAGCTTATGGGTTATGACAAGGGGGTGACTCCTTCTGAATAATTTTAAGACTTTCAGAGTACACTACATTAAAAAATAAATAAATATTTTTCTGAGAGAAAATGCTAGGATTATTATACAAGCACAATTTTGATGAACTATAACAGCTGTTTTACATTTTGTAAAAATGTTTAAAAGCTCTTATAATTTTGGTCGTGACCCTAGCCTTTAACAGCTGAGCTATCTCTCTAGCCTAACCCTAACCCTCACTCTAATCCTAACCTTAACCCTGAAGGGGGAGGGGCAGGATCAAGTATGGGAGGAGATAGAGGAGATGTACAGAGGGTTTAAGAAAATTGAACAGATGTGTAGCAATGGGGATGGGGAACTGGGGGTAGCCACCAGAAAGTCGCAGACGATAGGAAAGCAAGAGGCTCCCAGGACACAACATGGATGACATTAGCTGAAAAACCCAACAAATGGGAGAGAGAACTCGTAGAGACCATATCCAGAGGTTAGGCATTGCCCCCAGTGGGAAAGGGGCTACCCATGCATCTCAAAAATATGAAACCAGAATTGCTCCTGTCTAAAGGAAATACAGGGACAAATAGTAGAACAGAGAATGAAGGAAAGGCCATCCAGAAACTGCCTCACCTGGGGATACATCCCATATGCAGCTACCAAACCCAGACACTACTGCTGATGCCTAGATGTGCTTGCTGACAGGAACCTGATTCAGCTGTCTCCCAAGAGGCTCTGCCAGAGCATTACCAATACAGATGTGGATGCACACAGTCAACCATCTGACTGAGTACATGTACCTCAATTGTGGAGTTAGAGGAAGGACTGAAAGAGCTGAAGGAGTTTGTAACCCTATAGGAAGAACCAACCAGAACCCAGAGCTCTAAAGACTAAACCCCAGAGACTAAACCACCAACCAAAAAGAGGATGGCCTTATCTGGCATTAATGAGAAGAGAGGCCCTTGGTCCCATGAAGGCTCAATGTCCCAGTGTAGGAGAATGCCAAGGTGGTGAGGTGGGAGTAGGGGGGAAAGAGTGGGGGAGCACACTCAAAGAAGCAGGATGATAGGATACAGGGTGTGGAGAGGGGATACCAGCAAATGGTATAACATTTGAAATGTAAATAAATAAAATATCCAATAAAAATCAGAAAAAATATTAAAAATTATTGTCAGAAGTAAGAGGGAAGAAACCTCTGGAAAAAATCATCTAATTTGTATCTGAAAAGAGAAATAGGATCCAATGAAGCTCTATAATCCAGTTAACAATTATTGTGCTAATATCAGTAGATTGGTTTTGATATTATTCTATGGATATATAAGACTCTCTAATACGGAACAAGGTGAAGGGTATACAAGATTATTTACATCTACTTTTCTATGGAATCACACTTATTTCAAGATGTAAATATTTTTAGCAATAAATTAATTCAGCATCTAATGTATAAAAAAGAAAACTAGTGTAATCACATTAGAAAATGAAGGGCATATGTTGAAACCATTTGCATAAAATTTCAAATTTTGTTTTTAATGTGCCTTGGTATTTTGCCTCCATGTCAGTCTGTTTGAGGGTGTCAGGTCCTCTGGAACTTGACTTATAGACAGTTGTTAGCTGTCATGTGGGAGCTTGGAATTGAACTTGGATTCCCTGAAAGAACAGCCAGTGCTCTTAGCTGCATAGCTATCTCTCCAGCACTGAAAACTAAACATTTTAAAATGATATCTCCTGTGAAATTATCTAGCAAAATATGATATAGTACATATTAAACTTAGATTTCACAAGCAAATTATTTTTCTATGAATAGAATTAATTGTACTGAAAGTATTAGATTTTAGCAACATTTTATTATTTTGAAGTATCAGAATTTTGGAATGTTTAAAATATATAAACATCAGTTTTAAGGTACAGAATGTGAACTAAATGACAAAAGAATAATATGAATAAATTCATGGTTTTTGAAAAATATCTTTGAATGGGGGTTTATATATAAAGCAGCAATGGAAATTGATGTGAAGTAAGCATTAAACCATGTCACATACTGGACAAAAAAAAAGTGTTTCTTTGAGATTTTTTTCAGAATAAAAGAGGGAATAGAACAGAAAATTATACATGTCAAAATATTAATTTACAAAACAATGCAAATCCACAGTCAACAATGGAGCAGTGGCACCTGTGGGAATCAACAAAGTAAGCAGTGTGCATGGTCAACCTCAGGAGTCACTTTTTAAGTAGTATTTCTCTCAAGCTATGTCTAGTACACATTGACTAGATTTAGAGGCATCTGATGCTCCCAGCCTTATAAGGAGGAAATGGCTCCAGAATGATTATTTTATCTTTTGATTTCAAGTGGTCAAACTCTAAAAGAATCCTTGTTTTCATTAGAAGACTTACTGTCAAACATTCACCTTAACTTGTTTCCCCAACCAGTTAAGGAAACCTCCTTTCTTTTGTGATGGAATACTTGTTTGTGGAATTTGCCAGTCTCATGCAACAGATCAACTGTGCTATCATGACTCTTTACAGTAGAGAAACAAAGCAATTACAGAAGCCCTTGGACCACATAAAGGTCAAGGACAGTATTTCAACCTAAAGACTTGAGTTTTTCTTGCCATGTAACTGCATTTCCATTTCTCGATGGTCTGCCTTTTCACATGCATTTATCTGCATCAGTCCTTGGAAAGACTGATTTTTTCATATCCTGCAAAAAGAGTTCCAAGCCGGCTCACTGAGTCCTGATGGAAGTTTGAAGGAATACTTTCTTTATTTTTCCTAAGTGACTTAAATAAGCATTTTCATAGAAAGTGTGTACTATTTAGAGTTTAAATATATTTTCTTGAAACCAGAGTTCTTGCTTGTGCCCAAATGTTAATCCCCAATTCCCTGCTAAGGGGTAGTTCAATAACAGAAGAACTAAGTATTTAATTAATGAAGAATGAGTGGATCAGTTTTAATGACAAACACAGATTGATCTTGAGAAACCCAATGTGTGGAAACCAAAAGGTGAGGCTTCTGAGAATTAGAAACATTTTCTCCCTAATATAACTTTTAATTATGAAAAATCCTCCTCAGCACATAGGATTTTCATGATGGATATCTTTCCTAGGATCATTTTCTCTAATAGATTGTACTGCTTTAGGTCTTAGCTTCTGAAGCTCATCTTATCCTTTTACTAGTATTCTCCATTCTGCCATCATATATATTAAATAACAACATTATAATTTCACCAAAACAACATGAACTTTTAACTTGTATGTTTCATTTTTTATTCATTTGTGTTTTTAACAGTCTATACAGTTTTCATTACTTTATTTATTATTATTTAAGATGATTACTTTCATGTCTTTCTTTCAATTGTGTATCTTGTCCGAAGAACTCTATACCCTTTGTCTTCTTACTCAAATACAGTATTTGGGGAGTACTTATATGATAGTAGATTTCCTAATATTTTATCTATCCTCTGAAATTGTATGTTTCTAGATTTAAATTTTAAACACAGTTCCCCTTAGTATCCTATAAATACCAATTGAATAAGCATGCATATCCAAAACAATGACGTAATATTTATGTACATGATAACAAATGAGCAATCACACTCACTAAAGTCCTCAGGCTTACCGGTCCATGGCATGTGAGAAGTCCATCTTCCATTTTCTCACACTGGGAATCACACTCAACACAGATGGAGCCATTTTCAAACTCTCGAAATTCCCTGTGAAAATATCAACTGCGTGAGGAGGTGTAAGCAAACAAGCCATCAACTTAACAAATGAAGCAACATCTGCTAAGTGTACTATTGGCAGAGTAAATTCTTGAGTTTGTTTCTCTAATGTGCCAGGAGTCACAGATGCACTTTTCTATGCATTAAGGGGGATGCTTTCCATTAAAAGAGAAGATATACAGCAGCCAGATGGTTTTCCTTGCCCTTGATTGGGCTCAACAATTGTCTCATTCTGGAAAGCTCTCTCCTATGAGAGATATTCTAGTACTTTCCGAAAATAGAAAATAAGCTCTTTTGATGGCACAGCAGAATCACTTTTACCTCTTTGAGTAAGATTACATCTGTTTGATTCTATATAAAACATTCTTCTTGGTTGAAGTTTCAATTTCTAAACCATTGTGTTTTTTAATTGCTGGCTACATAAATGTGCTCCAATCTTGTCCTTCAAATCCCAAGACTATTAAATTTACTTCTGGCTAAACTTCAAAACAGGCTTTGATATCCTATCTCCTGTTAAAACATCAACCTTAAAGTATTAAAAATATCTTTTTATGTTAGATTTTATTTTCTTAGATTATTGATCTAATATTATAACATTCCTTTCAGTCTAATTCTTTTTCAAGTATTTCTATATGGAATAAAGTAAATAGTTTAGTTTAATGTACATAGTTTAAAACTTCACTATTTTAATCTACTGTGATCATGACACTCCCTTTTATATCATTAAATTTTATGTCTGTTTATGTATTATAGGTTTTAAATAGGTAATTATCCACTTCAAAGTCTAATATAAATATTTTACTCTGGTAATTGGGAACCAGTCATCTATACTGTGTTTTTTGGTTTCACTAAAATACAAAATAAAATGTTAGGTAAGATAATTTTGTGTCACTAACAAAGTTGATGACTAATTAAATTTTTATATCTAATTTGGTTATAATTTTCTTCCTTGGTGTCCTGAATCATCTTTTGAAACCAATATCAATATGAATAATGTAATTATAAATTAATTATGTGATAAATTCTAAAAGAGTTCTTTCATTTTGTGTGTTTCATTTTAGCACAAAAAGCCTTAATATGTAATGGAATTCCAAAGCATAAGTTATATATTCTGTTTGTCAAATTAACATTAACTCTACATTTCTGTTTTATTAATATTTAAAATTGGGCATTTTCCTTAGGCATTTTCACACTTATATGCTATTATGCTTTCTTTAAAGGCAACAGTTATGTATAGTTTCAAAATATAGAGCATCAGTAGGTTATTGTCTATATAGAACATACATATTTAGCCACATTGTCTTAGTACTTATATAGTAATATATTATTATGTTTTAGGTCAAACATTTTGCAATTTTTTTTGTTTAGAAATTACAGTTATCAAACAAGTTTTATTTTTATGCTTCAGTAATACAAGTGATGTAAAGACAGAAAAGGCCTTTAGAATGAAAGGTAAAAATGACCCAAAGGAGGGTATTTAAAGTCTACAAAAATTTACAAACAATGTATAATGAATTTTTATGAGAGACTAGTAATCATATGAGCTTCAGATAATTACTAGTTTTGGATAAAATACTTTGGCCATTAAGGGATTATGGTGACAAATGAAGAACATAATTTTATGCTACTAAAACCTAGGTTGTACTCTCCCTATTCTTCTACCACAGCATCCACCTCTTCACACACACAATTAAAGATTAAACACATGTCATAAGAACAATGGGGAGACCATGGCCTTTCCTTGCTAACTTCCTGAAAGTTAGAATAGGAAAGTTAGAATAACAGGGCTCCTGATATTCTTCCTGCTTTCATGGGAGATCTTGCTTGTAGTCTTTAAGAGTTACTGAGCCTTTGATTACCCTGTATTCATCATTGTTATTCTGATTCCATACTCCTGGTGACTTAACTGTGGTTTTGTCAAGTTCCCTGACTTGGATGTGGTCTAACTAGTTACAGTCTATGATACTACTATGTTAGCATAGTCAGTCTTTGGAGCTGGAGTGAATACAGGAACACCAAGTCTCCAAAATCTAAGTCTTAACACCAACACTACTATTCCAGAATTAAACACTTGACATTTAGTTTAATGAGTATGAACTGTAAAAGGAGAAATCTGTTTTATTGAGATGTGATTTTCTTTTAAATAAGCAATTGCCATCAAAGTTCTTTGACTGGCAGCCTAATGTTTTCGTGTTTGTCTCAAGGACTCAGAATGTATGATAGATAGAAAGAATTTAGGGTTTCATGTTTCAATGTTCCATTATAACTATTTTTCTCTTCCATTTTGATTGTTCATTGTAGTTAGGAGTTACAGAAACATATTGCCACTTGAATTTGGATACAAATTAGACTGAATTGATTGACTTTCTTTTTTTTTCTTTGAGGAAACTCTTTTATGTTTTCTTTTTCTTATGTGCATACATACAAAAAGCTTGTATTTATAAATATATACTTATAAATGCACTTTTCATTTTCATAAATATGCATTTATTTCACTGCCGTATCAGGTTTTAAGACAAATATTTTAGTCAACCATTTGCTAGGCTCAGATTATCCAATAAAATGGGAATGATGCTAATGAAATCCCAAGAATAAACTTTAACAAGACCTTAATAAGCGTATTTCAATTTCCAAAATCAAAAAAGACAGCACCATGCTACTTCCATTCATCCTATTTATATATTATTTTTATTCTTCATACAAATATTTTACAATTTTATTTTTAAATCATTTACACATATGCAGACAAAGAAAAATAAATTTCAGGATGGAATTTTGGGACCACGGCAGTTTAAAAAAAATTCTGATCATTAGCTACTGACGACAAGGTAAGAGGCTTAGCAGTCACTTAAGGGGGTTTGCGCTTAGTCCAATGAGATGGTATTCATCATTTAAACCCAGTTACTGGGGAAATTAAGGCAAGAACTGATCATGGCATCAGTTGTCACAATGAGGAAATGTGTGAATGGAGAAAAGAAATAGACTGAACACATTCCAATGTAGAGTTTCCAAAATTGTTTAAAGTACTTTCAGTTGAGCAGTATGAGAGAAATCGACATAGGGGACAGCCATGAGAAACACATTATCACACTAATGAGTAGCAATCACAATGCATGAAATTCTGCTATGATAAAGGGATTTGACAGGGTATGAAATGCCACAGTATAGAGTAGACACTAGGTTTTATTGCAGGCAATGTGACAACTACAGTGCACAGGGAATTAAAAACACTGAGTTAAAAACATTGTTTTTTAAAAAAGGTCAGACCACATGGAAAACACTCTTCAACTCAAATCATAGATGAAATTTTCTTGTGGTCTTCCCCAGTTATCAAAGAGATAGAGATGCGGGATGTTTCTTGGGTGGAAATAGGCACACAACCTGGATAGAGAAAAAAGCAGGAGGTTCACAGTCGCTCAAGATAAAAGCAGAAGGAAGGTGTTCTTTAAAGATCTTGGTTGACATATATTCTAAATCCTCAATGCTTTTCTAAAGGTCAGATATTTGCTTTAATCAGTAGCTTACAGCTTATGAGTTAAAGGTGGCCTGATGTATCTTACCCATCATAAAGGTTGCAAGACTCTATACAGATCTTTCCCCTGCTGAAGCGCCGACATGATAGGCACTGGTCTGGCCCAGGTCCCCAACAACCATCATTTGAACATAGGTGGTTGCACACCATCCCTTCAGCAGCTGCAATACACATGAAAATCAACAGGAAATGAGACAATGAATATAGTAATGTTTACTATATTTTGTTATAAGCTGCATAGCTTTTTTATTAAAAATTATATTTAACTAAAATATAATTATAATATGTTCCCTTTTTGCTGTTCTCTCTTAAACCCTTTCCAATTTTCTACTTAACCATATATATATATATATACACACACAATATATGTATCAAATATGATTACAATGTGCCCATGCTTGATACTTTTAAAGGAGTTGGTTTGAAAGAGTTCATTGTCAAACGACTTTGGATACCTAACCAGTTGCCAATCTTTTTTCTCCCTCCAACTTATTCCATACTGCAGAGTTGTTATATTTGTATAGCAAAATAGCCTTGTCCATAAGACTAAACAAAATCCCTTTGTCTAACTGAACATAAAAGGAGGACAGGTGGTTGATATAAACTATTTGCATCTATTGTATTGGTAGTTCCTCAACCTAAAACTGACCGTAATACTTGAATGTAATTAAAATGATATAAATACCAAAAGGAAGAGAAGGGATGAGATAGGGGATTTATGGGGGTGGGATGGGGAAAGGGGATAACATCTGAAATGTAAATAAATAAAATGCCCAATTAAAAAGAAATATACTACTGCAAACACACAAACACACACACACATAAATTAAAGAGCGAAGTATGCCTTTCCCAAGCCAACATTTTGTTTCACAAACACACCAAAAATGGGGGTTTTAAAGAAGAAACTTGAGAGAATGATATAATTAGCAAAATTATTTTTAAAGTAAGAGGAAGTGAGAAAAGTATACAGAATATATAAAGTGGGAAAAAGTTTGGAAATCTAGCAGGCAAAATGGATCAGTAGGTAAGGTAGCTTGCTGCCAAGTGTGAAGACCTGCATTCCATCTTTAAGGAATACATGGTAGAATAAGAGATCTGATTTCCCAAACTATCCTCTGATTGTTGTAGGTACCTTGGTATGTACACATATGCATGCACAAACACATAGAAAAATAAGTAAATTAAAATTTGAAATTTAAGAATATAAATAATTTTGCAGGCATCTTCTAATATATAACTTGGGAATTTATAAAGGTAAGTCATCTATAGAAATGTGTACAAAAGAGTATTCAGGAAACTGAAATAAATATTTGTGAGGAGATATGCAGATTAATGTATCAGCAATGGCTTCTCTTCTTCAGAGTTAATCTTAACTGACCATATTACCTTGCACAAATTAAGCCAGCACTCTGCCGCTGGGCTATATCCCCAGTCTTTTGACATATTAAATTACTTAGCTGCTTTTCAACTTGCTCTGCAATTCAAGCTGTCTGTTATCTTTAGATGTTCTGCTTAGTACTCTAGAGTTTTAGTTCTAGACCATAGTATAACATCTTTTGCTGTTGTTTAGATTTTGATATCAGAAGTACCAAAGACCTTGTTTTAAGTTTTCTAAAATTGACCATTTGTGTTCTCAATTACAATGAACACTTATTCAATATAATCAGCGCATAGCAACGTTATTGACAGGATGCGATGCACTGAATAAAGACAAAATCTTCACGTCCTTTCCTGCATATCTGAAAACTTATTCTAAGTACCTGGATAACAACATTCTTCTCATTATAAATTAAGAATTCTCCAGATAAAATTGTGAAAATCTTCTCTATCTTCCTGTTAGTTACCAATATCACTAATATAAAACTCAAATTTTCAGCTAAGAGTATTTGAAAGTTGTGTTGATATAGAGTGAACACAAACAGCAAGCATACTAGGGATCATGAAAGTCAACTCATCCAGCATGCACTAGGGATCATGGACTTCAACTCACCCAGCCTGTACTTGTAAAATTAAGCTGCCCACATTTTCATGTTGAGTGTTTTTTAAATATATAACATGGAAAGGTGATTTTATTTTTATTTTGTAAATAGACTTATGTGGAAAAATTATGTAAATTAAGGTCAAAGTCCACCATGGTTGGATAACCTCTGGGCTTGGCACAATATGGGAGACACCATTCCTTGGCAAAGCTTCTCCTTCTCTAAATTCTATGTCCCTACAATCTCTTCTACCTGGGAAATGTCATGTAGCATCAATTAATTAATAGATCAATTTCCTTTCTCTTGATAAAACCTGTTCAGCTAGCATCTGAGATTTCTGAAATGTTTCCCCCATGCTAATAAGGTATGATAGGTTACCCTAATCTCCAAGCCAAGACTCATTTCCCATCCTCTCAGTCCCCCAAAACTTTATAAACCTTCAATCAGCATAAGTAAAATTGATATGTCTATTGACAAGAGGTCCCAGTGTAGTCATTCTCACAGAGTTTCCAATTCCCCTTTCCCCCATTTCCTCAGTGTCTCTGCTCCCACTACCTACATGGACTGTGGATCAGCAGGGAGAACCACATATTTGTTTTAAGCAGTCACTAATATGGCCTGCAAATAATATAAACTCTCTCATACACATCTTCTTCATTCAGACCCTAAGACTAAGGGGTCCTTACTTTAAGGCATGTAACATACTAATGTTGACAGACTTACCAAGACACTTATTAAATTTATAACTGTGTAACTGAATAATCATTCCTATAATTATTAAATAGAAGAACATCAAGTATACCCCTGGCCAAAGTTAGCAACTGAAGACAAGATTCCAAACTGGTGACTTTATTGATAAGATTATGACATCACACAATTCATCAGTGGGTTACCTTTCCTTCATTAAACTACCTTTGCATATTTTTGAAAAATAAATTCTCCATGCATACATAGGTTTATAGCCTGCTGTTCTGTTGCTGTATTTAGTTTTGATGGTCAAACTGTAAAGAAATAGTATACATAAGTACGTATTTTCCATCTTTTCAATGTATAATTGTTTTTTATAATTGAGTTGTCTATGAAGCATACAACTGGGGCCTATTTCTAAAATGTAGTCAGCTGATTTCTGCCTTCCAATTATAATATTAAACCATTCACTCTTAATTGATATAAGGTCAGTGAAATAAGTTATTTTACTATTTTTCTGTTCACCCAATCAATTCCCTATTTTGCTCCCATACTTTTGATTACATGATGTTTTCCTTTGATATATAAGCCTCTAACTTTTTATATATGTAGGCTACATAACATTGTGATCTACTTTCAGATAATTGAGTTACTAATATACCATTTTAACAAAACCTTTTCTTCTGAAAAATTGTATATACTTTTATGAATAACATGGAAAGTTCAAACATTATATTTAGCTTATTTCCATAAGTTTGTCACTAAATATTATTTAAATATAGTAGTATTTTGTATGAAGTTTCAGAATAACAATATTTCATTAAACTCAAGAATTCATCTGGTTTGTAGGATAAATGGTATTTTTTATTGCTATTAGTATATATTTTTTGTAATGGAATATTCCTCTTAACTGTTCACAGGAAGGAATACTTATCTTGTTTCTGGTTTGTGGATATCTTAGTTAGTTTTGTCAAACTACTTGGAGAAAAGCAAAGTACTTGAAGAATGGCCCTGGCTCTCACTTTATGGTTACAGTGTATTACAGTGGAACAATCACATCACATTAAATCTATAACCAAGAGGCAAAGAATAATTAATGCCTGCAGTTTCCTGGCTCCCCTTCTCCATTCCCACAGAATAGGATCCCAGCCAGTGACTGGTGCTGCTTACAGTGAGGCAGCCTTCTACTTTCAAGGAATAAGCAAGAAAATCTCCAGGGTCATTTTTAGAATCTTACTGCAAATATCCCTCACTAGTGTGTATAGAGGTTTTTCTTCTAGAAGATTCTATACTGTCAAGTTGACAATTAATGTAACTGTCACTGGAGTATTATAGTTGCATGTCCTACAAACATTTTGCATAAGTGTTTGTTTGGGTTTAAATTTAACTTTTTTTGGAAAAAATATTTTTTTCTTCTATCTAGGCCATTTTAGTCATATGGAAGGATCATTGTCAGTCTGATTTTCTTTCTTAAGCTACCAAAGGTTTTATAAAGTTTCTTTTTAAAGAAAAATTATTGGATTTTTTATTTATATATCAGTGTTATCTCCTTTTCTGGTCCACCCACGCCCTCTATCCCATCCCCCATCCCCCTGCTTCTATGAGGGTGTTTCCCTGCCCACCCACCCACATACTCCCTGCCTCCCTGCCCTCGAATTCTCCTACACTGAAGCATTGAACCCTTACAGGACCAAAGGCCTCTCCTCATTTTTATGCCCGAAAAGGCCATCCTCTGCTACATATTCGGCTGGAGCCATGGGTCCCACATATATACTCTTTGGTTAGTAGTGTAGTCCCTGGGAACTCTGGGGGGTCAGGTTGGTGGTTGCTGTTGTTCTTCCTATGGGGTTAGAGACCCCTTCAGTTCCTTCAGTCCTTTCTCTAACTCCTCCACTGGAGACCCCGTGCTCAGTCCAATGGTTGACCTAGAGCTTCAGCCTCAGTATTTGTCAGGCTCTGGCAGAGCCTCTTAAGAGACAGCTGAACCAGGCTTCTGTCGGCAGGCACTTCTAGGCATCCACAATAGTGTCTGGGTTTGGTGACTTCTAATTGCAACTCACTGAAGATAGAATACAGCACAGTTCTGCTCCTTTGCTGCTCTGAGTCATCTTGGGATCATGGTTCTTTTCTGCCGAGTTTAGCCGGATTCTAACCGTTATTATCTAAACGGTGTCTGTCATGTTAGACTATTCAGTTTTCTGAGCTTTAGAGTAGAAATAACTGACTTTGTGGTAGTACTTCTGGTCTTCACAATGTGGCATTTTGATTCGCCTGTTTCTCCTCATCCATATTTGAGACACATGGAGAAGGAAACCTACCTGTGTGTCCTCCCTTAGATCCCAATTTCCAAAATCCATTTGATTCTTCTTTCTACTCTCTATTTTGTAGGTTAACGTATGGTGCCCATGATTTGATAATGTATCAAATGATAGAATGGTTTTCATGAGTGAAAGATCTTTATGAATGAGAAGTAATAATAGTGTTTTATGAGCATC